TACACGATTGCTATTTAAAAGCTGTAGTTTAATCGTTTAGGTTCGTATTTAAACATTTTTTTAAGATAACTTGATAATGGCAAGAAAACTACATTCATAAATTTTAATGAAAAGTTGACCTCGCTTGACCTAGTTTCTTAAAATAAACTTTTCAGTCTCTGTAACCAGTGTTTTAATCGTTCGTTTTGTTATTAATTGCAACGATAGTTTGTTTAGTTATCACTAAAAACGTCTCGAGGAATGAGATAAATTTGAATGGCAAAAAGTTTTATTTTAAATCAAAAGCTTTTTAAATGCTTATGAAAGTTATGAATAACGTTTAAGCATAGAAAACTTTATCATAAATTATTTTATTTTAAATCTAAGTTTTATTTTAACTTACGCATTAAATTTTTTTTAATATTATCTCAGTTGAACTTTTTGTCATACAAAATATTGTTTCGATGATATTAACGGTATCCTTAACAATAAATACTTATTAAGACGACCATTAGCTTGTCGTTAGGAGTAAATGGGTGAAAAAAAGATGCAAGAAAAAAGGAAAATACCAGAGCTATAAGAATATACAATTGATTTTCAAAGCCAGGTTTCCATTCATTTTAAAGAAATATTGTTTTGTTCTTGCCACAATATGTCCCTTTATTTTCATTGTTTTTTTTATTCTGTGAGCCCCTGCAGTTTAAGAATAGCAATTAAATATAAATGAAACATTGCTCCTTCTGAATACATGTCTTCGGTTCGACAGTTTAATATTAAACATTTTAAGTGGTCCCGAGTATATTTTCATAAGGCTTAATTCTCAAACTTTGTAAGGTAATAAAAAGTAAGCGTTGATGTTAACATTTGTGTTCTTACGCTATAAAATAAAGTTGCGAGTATTTCACAGTTGGCGACTTGCCCTAATGCTTTTAAGTCGTAAAATAAAAAAGTCAGTTTTACATTAGTGCAAAAATGTCATCTGGGAATATTTATATCGCTTGAAAGCAAAACATTTAATTGATATTATTTATTTATTTATTGATAATGCGATAATTGATGGAAATAAGATTAACTTTCATGCAATCCAATCATACTTTTAACAATTTAGCTCTTTTAACGTGATCGTTAAAAGAGTTAAGAGAACTTGAAGGAAATGGTGATCCATTTCCTGCAAGTTTAAAGTAATGTACCGAAGCTAATATTACAAATTTCATTTAAATTCCAAAACAAAAAAAAATCAAAATATTAGTTCATTCTGTAAACTGGCCGCTAAATAAAAAATGAAGTTTTCTAACTCAATTAAGAGCCGGCGCAATTGCCTTTGGAGAGCTCGCCATTTTAATTAACTCTTTGCACACTAATGCCTCAGACATGCTGACTTAAGGAAAAAAATAATGTCCAACTGTTATAACAATGAGTAATAGAGTTTATAACGACTACGTTGGAAAAAATATACAGAAATAGGAAGAAAACTGTACTGTTGTACTTCACGAAATACTTTTATGCATTTTCCTGTGTAACCGTATCTGACAAGCATGTCTCCTAGCCGGAGAAGTATGACTGTTACCGATAGTGTATAAGCATTTGTAAACGACCAACGAATTTATTTTTCATCCCATAAAGTCATAATCATCATCTCTCTGTCCTTATCCTAATTGAGTGGGCGTTACAGGTTTCGGCCTCCACATCGATTTATTTTGAGTAATTTCAGTCGTCACTCCCTTCTTAATCACGTAACCTTTTACTAAATTCATTCACCTCTTCCTTGACCTACCTAATCCGGTGTATCTCTCCACATTCTTACATATTTCTCCTGTCATAAATATTCTCTTTCTTTTTTGTATAATAGTGCTAATTGCTTTTTATATATTTACTTAACCATATCACTTTCAATTTAGCTCGTGCTACGTCAGAGAGGTGACCCGGGAGTCGGGTCAGGTTCAGGTCAGCGGCGGCCTTTGTTCGCATTCCTAATTAATTCTCACAAAAAGCTTCTTCATAGCAAACTGAACAAAGACGATTTAACTCTGTCTAAAAACAGTTCCCTTGTGTGCCGTTGTCTCAATTAATATATAATATTTTTTCATTGTATAATATAAAGATTGCCAACATTATCTGTTAAAAATATATGAATTGTTATTAAAATATTAAAGTTTAGAACTTTAATAATTCTTGGTTATATTTTTTCTAATGTTGGCAGTAGTAGAAAAAAGTATTTGCTGGACATTATTACATTCAATACAAACAAAGGCTTGGCGAAAGGTGGTGTGATGTCGACAAACAGTAATTGCACTAATAAAGTAATAGTTGCAAATGTGTTTGCTTAATGCACCCTTTCTAATGGTTTGGATGATGATTACTTATATATACTTTTGGATACTTAATCCAGAGCACGAAAGTAAGGCGAAAAAAGGCCTCCGGAGTATTATTATTGGAATAAATTCGCTCGGTGTTGTAATTTACAAAACAAAATAGCATTTCGGAAATCGAATTTTGATTAGATGTCTAACTTGTATGAAACACTCCATCTGTATTATGAATATTATAAATGCGAAAATTTATATGAATGGACGGATGATTTGTTAGATGGTATCTACGGAACGGCTCAACGGATTTAGATGAAATTTAACACAGATGTAGGACATAGTCTGGAAGAAAACATAGGTTACTTTTTGAGTTTTTTTTATTCTGCGAGAGCGTAGTTTCGAACGGCAGCTAGTACGACATATATCTATGATTCGTAATATTGAATTGTGAATATATGAATTGATAGATCAGTTAAATATATAATGTATTCGAAGGGAAAGCATAGATATCTCATGAAGTAATACAAACTCAATGTCACGCGCTTTTCTTCGCTGCTAAAAGAACGCAAGATTTATAACACTGGGCCTGTAGAAAATGTTAAAAATACACACTAATTAAGTCTTAAACAATAAAACTGCGTGCGCTGTAGTCGCAAATAGTATGATAAAATAGGATTAATTAAAAGTATCAACTTTATGTTATCAAGCTTATATGTTAATGAAAAAGTCATGCTGACTCACTATTTTGATAACAAAAAGTATTCTATATTTTTTAATGAACTAAAATCACGTACCGCTTGAATAATGGTAGACCTTAAAGCGGATTATTGTCCAGCCTTAGTGCATGAACTGAAAAGCAATTTAAGAAATAAATCCGTCAACCTATTGCCGGGAATTGATACAGTTTGAATCGAAATCGAAACACCTCACTCTTTAAAATCAGAGAAGTCCTTCCGACTACGGTACAGTCGGTTTTAAAAATAAATACTCACGTATTCGTCAGTTAAATGTATTACTAATCAGAAGCATACTTATAAACACGTTTATGTCCATTTTTAAAAGAAAGGACTTATATAACTTTCTTAATGGTATCAATGTATAAATATTTATCCAGTTGACTGTACATACTTGGAAAACATGTCTTTGTCAGTCAACCAAAAACATTCAGCTTTAATAACTGTCCATGATTTAAATCAGGTTGCCACCATGAGCGGTTCGATCTGTAGTTGTCATATTTGGAGACGATAATAATTAAACCTTGTTAAAATTAATTACGGGTCTGTTTAAAATGGACACCGAGTTCGTTATTTTTCGTTATAATTGATACGATAATAAACACTAAAACAATTTTAATTCAACATACACATATGTTTAATTCCTTGAAGGTTAACATGAAGCGACCAATTAGACATATTACGGAATAAAAGGTGTTTCAAATTTGAATAAGCCAGCGGGATATCGAATACAGGTTTATAACCTTTAATACGCCAACTATTATATGTATCTTATTCCAATCAAAGTTATCAAGTTTATTGAAAATATTTATTTTTTAATGTACGTTAATCACAAACAAAATAATGGCAATATCAATTTTAATCATACTTCAATTTGATTTCCATTGGCATCAACCCATCTTAGCCTATTCTATTCTCAGTAGCGGTAAGGTTGGGGCGACCGCCGAGGGCGCTGAGTATAAAGGGGCGCCTGTAGTGCCTCCTAATACATATAAACTATTTTTGGAAGAATTCCCCCGATACCAAAAAATGGGGGCACTGCAAAAATCGCATCCAGGGCGCCGGAAATTACAAAACCAGCCCTGTCTATTAAGTCACAATTTCATCACATTCTAATTGAGATCTAATATAAAAATCCGTGAATTGTTTTTTAATAATTCTAAAATCCAAACTTGCGGAGGCACGAAGACACCGGAAGATAAGTAGCACATACAGAATAAAACCTGTGTCTAGACAATATAATATCTTGACAAATATTGCTTCGAAATTATTTGTTTCATATCGTGTATTTTTGATTGACAAACAAATAACTGTTGAATTTGGGGAAATCATTAAACTTTTTTTGACTAAAAACTTCGATTTCGATGGAAGCAATTATCTAAGCGTAATAATTGGATATTTCAGATTGGAACAAGTTGTCGCCATTGTTCCCTGTATGACATGGGTACTGATGAAAAGATGATAATATAAATACAATAATAACTTGGCTCTATCTGGTCGGAGTTGTACTATAAGAACTTAAATTCCCTAATTATGGCCAAGTTGCCCTAATGTTAGGCAATTGCTAGACGCGGTCATTGTACTGGACCGGTAATGTGGTACCTTACCCTTTTCCTTTTTCAAGAAGTTTCACTTTGAAAGCATCAATGGCCAACACTAAGACAAAAGTGTTCAGATCTAGAACATACATAGTTACATTTTTCGTCTTCATTTTTGTTTTTTTTTTTTTATAACCTTGATAAGTATTAAGTTTGACAAGATGTAACATGGCATTCAATTATGCGAAAAAAAATAATAATTTACCTCTGATAAGTGTCACAATTTACATCACAGTATGCGGAATCAGAGACACTTAAAGACTTAAATGTATAATTGCATAAATCTTATTGTATACAAGTTTAAATCCCCTGATGACATAAGATAAAGTAGCGACAGATTGTATTTAACACAAGCGTTCATTTACATCTAACAGTTACACGAAATGACAGTGAAGGAGGTCATGAAAAATAAAAAATATGAACTTGTACCGCCAGACGGAGGATGGGGTTACGTAATTTGGATATCTGTCATTATAAACGGTGTAAGTAGATATAATATAATATCATATAGTGTGTCAAAAACTTTGTCTCGTATCGCGCATATTATTTGGATAGCGCACGCGTATTTTGTAGCGTTCGTTAAACTACGCAGAAGTCGCGTGCGTCTTTTATTTGCCGCATACACGTGTTTAGTATACACGTAAAGACGCATTAAACAGTAGCAATAGTATCACGCGTGTTGCACGTACCATGCTGGCCAGTTATAAATGTATCTTTACATCTGTAATGAAAAGAAACAAAAAGGAACACAATTTACAATATGTTTACATAGATTTTCTTTTCATAAAATTCATCCGATGGACGCTAATTCGTACATAATTTTTATCTGAGAGCACAATTTTTATGTATGTTAGTATTGTTATGAAGAAAATCCGACACTGTGTCGGTGTACTAGCGCAACACTAACCTTACTTAAATATCGACGTTTATGTCCCCTCACTAATCATTCTGACACTTGACTTTGTAATAAAAGCAAGCCATTCGCGCCAAAGGATTCTAAAAGTATTGATTAGGATCCGAAACTATTCAACCGAATTGAATAATTCTTTCACTATTGGGAAGCTACACTATTCCCGAGTGACAAGGGCTATATTTGTCACTAGATTTTTTATAACGCATTTGTCCGCGCGGACGAATGTCGCCAACAAATACTAGTGATGCATATACATATAGTTCATAAAGCCCTCAATGTAGTATATTAAAAACTATAGAAATTGCAAATAATATTTTTATGCAATTAACTATCGAAAACACTAATTAAGTAAAGGCAGTTTTAGTTTCTATCGTTTTTACAATATTGTCAGATATTATTGATATTTCAAATGATTTCAATTTCAGATAGCGACAGCATCGTTTTTAGGAAGTTTTGGAATAATATTCAATGAACTTTTCATCCAATTAAAAATGGGATCGACTAGTATTACTTTATTAAATGGAATAAACGCCATGTGCGTAGCTCTCTCTGGTAAGAACGAAATAGATTAAAATAAAAAATAAAAACAAAAAAAATAAATTTTTATATTCCTGGTCAAATATAAAATATTCGATTGTTTTTATATGTTTGGTTATTTATGGGAAGGAGGTTTTTCAAGGATTTTATTTAATCGTTATTGCCAGTGGAATACTTATTTGAATTATTTATTTTTCTTTTTTAGGGTTCATGACGGGCCCGCTGCTGAAATTTTTGAGTACGCGGCAATTGGGTATGGTTGCCGCGTTTTTTATAAACCTCGGTACTTTTGGTACCGTTTTTGTAAATTCCAAATTACTTTTCTTCGTCTGTCAAGGACTTTTACAGGTATTTTTTACTGAGAAAATATTATATTAATAAGTTACTGATGCATTCAGAGAAAACTTCATTAAGGGATCACATGTAATGACTCTGAGTGCAGGAGTTAGTGTAATTTTAAATTTATTGTGCTACTTATTTATTTGATACTTGACAAATTATAATATATTTTGCAGAACATCGGCATTGGATTTTTACTTAATATTACGTATTCAGTAATAAATGAATATTTTGTAAAGCGCCGATTGCTCTCATTAAGTGTTACACAAACCATTCCAGGTATTATTAATGATTATTTATATCTCAACTACCAAAGTCACATATAAAGAAAACTTGTCATGTATATTAAATGTTACTAATATTATAAAATAACTGTCGTCCGCGACTTTGTCCGCGCGGAATCAAAGAAAACTCAATTTGTGCTATGTTTTATATCTATGTCAAATTTCCGCGAAATCCGTGCAGCGTTCTGGAGACACCTTCAAACAAACATCCATCCATGCATGTACATATTTGCATTTGTAACATAAGTAAGCAGTAAGATGTGAAAGTTTGTTTGGTTGGATGGATGGATGTTTGTTAATATGCATCTCGAAAATGGCTTAACTCAAGAACCCATGAAATTCGACACAAATGTAGGACACAGTCATAAATAACGCAAAGGCTACTAAGATTACTAAGATTTTTTTTATAATTTCATCTTTACATATATCTAAAATCGGTAAAAATTGACACAAAATTTTCAATTTGAAACTAGCATCTTATGTCCCATGCATATAACTCTGAAATGGTGTTTTGAAAAAGATAACATGCTGTTTTTGGTAAATTAAAATTCTGCATTTGTTTACGTTATGACTAAATTTTTTTATTATGTTTTTCAGCTATTATAGCGTTATTTTCTCCACAATTAGTGAACATGGTTATAAATTATTATGGATTTCGAGGTGCATTTATTCTATTATCCGCCATCAATATGCACACATTTGTAGCTGTTTGTCTCATGCAACCAGTCGCGTGGCATATGAAGAAAATTGAAATACCAAACGTTGAAAGTTCTGGTACGTAATTATTCAAGTATAATTTCTTAACCAAACACATGCAAAATACTGGTCTTCATCAAATATTGTTGTATTATTTATTAAAGTTTTAAATTTCGATAATGAACAGCTTTTTTTTTAAATAACTCGCGTATGCTTTATTTCCGTGAACGCGAATTTGAACTGATCCGATCTACTTTCATTTGTTTTGAACATGTAATATTTAAAAAAAACTTATCTCGTCCTTCTTGGTTAATGATTGCTCTGGTAAATTATTAAATCATATTTCAACAATTAATTACAGTAAGAATAATATAATGACAAGTAATGAATATTTTCATTTATCGTTTGCAGAAATGAAATTACTTTTAGTCCAAGATAAAACAGATCAACACATTCCATGTGTTAAACTATCTGACAAAGAGAAAGAAGTAGAACAAAACATAGATAAGAAGGGAGAAAAAGATTTGGAACTAGATGTGGCAACAGAAAAAAGTAAAAGTATTAGGTGAGCAACACGTTGTAATTAAGTATTAAGACGTTGTTCCAGGCTTTTTGGGACTAAAGTTGATATTGTAATTCATAATCTTATTTAGATAATTATCGATTGTTAATACTAGACACTCCTACAACAAATTATCTAATTAAATTATTCAAACTTTCGTGAGACATTATACTAAACTGATATAAAAACGACTAAACACTCCGCGAAATAATACCAGTACCACTCATCCTGATGAAGGGCCCCCGATGGGCTCGAAACTAGTCGGTGTTTATATCAGTTTAAATTAACTAATGCTTCACTATGAACAAGACCGATATTACATTGGTTGGATGTGATGGAATCCAATAAGAGTTCTAAATATGAATCCTTCTTGAATTTATACTAAGAATTCGCATTGCATTTGTTTTCATTTAATTTAGTGTTTCCTATCCTTTTCAGAGGCATCATTTTGGAAGCAATAGATTTGAAACTAATGAAGACATTTATACTATCAAACGCCGGTTTAGGTTTGGCGATATGTGGATTTGCTGATTTGACTTTTACATTAATGCTTCCTCAAACATTATACGCAATGAATTGGACAGAAGTAAGTTTGATACCATACTTTAAAAGTCCGATCATTTCCAACTAAAACGAAGACAACTTTGGATATGATCGGGCAGTGCCTTTACTTTATTTCTATTTCTTTATCTTACTAATATTATAAATGCGAATGTTTGGATGGATAGATGGTTTTTTGTTTGATATCTCCAGAACGGATGCATGGATCTTCCTGAAATTTGGTACAGATGTAGAACGCAGTTTGGTACAATACATAGGCTGCTTATTTAATTCCACACGGAGTAGCGGGCAATAGCTAGTATATCATAAAGTTTCATCTGTAATAAGTAACTTTTGTTACATAACTGAATACTAAACTCCCTTCTATACTCATCATCATACTTGTATTTGTAAGTTGTGTAAAATTATGACTTTCCTTATAAAGTTCTATTTTTATTTTAGGATGAAGTAGCTCGGGCTGTGTCTTTAAATTGTTTTGGAGATCTAGTTACTAGAATTTTATTTATAATCGGTAGCTCCTGGTTGGTTCGTTTTGAGAGTCAACAAATTTATCTTGTTGGTTTATTTTTGGCTGTGACCACGAGATTAGGTAAGTATAATAAATATTTTAGATATTTATTTATTTATCTACGGAACCTTACATCATCATCATCATCAGAAACCACAGAAACTACGCGAATTTGCAACTTTGATCCCTAATTTTCAAAAAGTGGAATAATAATAACATAAAATGTTGGTCATACATTACTATGTTACATATTTTATAGGCGTGAATGTACACTGATTTTTATTATATGAAAAAGCATATAGCTGTAGAGATCATTCGAGAATTATAAATAATAAAGAACAGACAACCATTTTAATACCAGATGCTAATCAACTTATTTTTATCACTTTACAGGAATGCTAGGATTTGAAAATGTCACAACAATTTTGACATTCCTTACGATAATGGGTGTGTCAAAGTGCACCATAATAATGCTGATTCCACAAGTTATAGCAGAGGCAGTGAAACCCGAGCAGTTTACGTCCGCTATGGGCATCTTTATGTTATCTTTTGGTTTTATTAATTTATCATTTGGACCAATAATCGGTAAGGAATTATAAAACTCAGTATATAACAACTCTTTATTCGTCAACTAATTTAAGAGTTATGCAAAAGAAATATTTTTATGAGACACGTAACAAAAAATAACGGTCATCATTGTGTTACTTTAAATGCCTAACAAACAAGAGTTAATCAGCTAAAGCAAACGATTCTTATCACACAAAGTATTATAACATTGTACTAAAAAAACAAAATGAAACGTTATTTCATCTGTTGAAAATGATATTAAAATAGAATTCATTCAAAACAATCCTAAATGCGAAATTTCTGCTTTCAGGCGCTGTTCGCGATTTGACGGACAGCTATCCGACTGCGATTTACATTATAACTTCATGTTTCGGAATTGTTATTATGTTTTGGATCGTCGAAATGGTTTACAAAAAGAACAAACATAAAAGGAAGCCAAACACTCAAATCTCTAAAAAAGGATTGTCTTAATCAAAAGGACCCCACACATGTGGTCTTTACGTTAATTATTAAATACGTTGTAAAAGTCTGTGAGAAAATATGATTATTTATATAGAGAAACTGATTGCCGTTTACCAATTTGCCAACTGTGGTATCATCTTCAGAACGCTATCATTTTCAAGTCTAAGTTTGTGATTATTCTTCTATGTTATCTTAAGACGAATTTCAAAAACACATAAACAAAAACCCCTTACATTTGTTTTAATAAAAACAGTAATAATAATGTTTTAGTACACGTTTTAAATCATTGGATACTCAAAGTAATGAAGTATTCACAGTAATATAGTGCATGCTAGTAATTTCTGTACATGTATTATAAGACGAGTTGGATATCAAGAGAATAACGTGCCCACTTACGTTAAGTATTAGAATTTTGTATAAAACAATCTGTTTACACTGTTGAAATACTTGTATAGAAACATATTTTAACCCCTCATACGGTTTTACAATGCTATAAGTATCCAACAGATACATTAACTGACACATAATAGTTTCGATAAAAATAGTTTGTGTTATTATTTGGAAATTGTGATTTTATTTGACAAATAAGTTTCAAGTTACTTCAGGACTAATATGGACATTGTGAAAGTAAATTGGCCCTTAGTCTATTAATAAACAAAGGCTATGCAATTTAAATATAAAAAAAATTTCGGCAATGAAGTTCTACGTCAATGTTATCGTACTCAAGTTCCTTGGATTTGTACCTTTCTATAATCATTTTATTAACTGTTTAAAACATAGAAGATTAAGCTAAAGAGTTTTGGCTATCTAATAGACATAGTTTCGTAATTAATCTGCTACTTTCTTCTTATGTGAGTAAGTTGTGATATCCAGTTGAATATCTCATTATTTTAAGATGTAAAATAACATAGTTTTAAAAAAAAATCAAAGGTATTTTCATTTGTTTTTTTACCAACTAAACATAATTGTCGACGTAAAGATGTGGTTGAACCTCAACGCAATTGCACATAAACCTAATAAAGACGGAAATAATATAAAAAGCTAAATTAATTATGAATATTCAACTGTTTGTAATCTGATATTCGGGGTCGATAGAGTTTCCTTAATCGCTTATATATTCAATTAAATATATTTATCAAATAATGCACATGGACGCATGAAATCGGATAGAAGGAAAATTTACATATCAACTTTAATGTCATGTAATTTGATAGCTATATCCACAGATTATAAAGATTCGTCGCTAAAATATAACCGATTAATAATATAATCATTAAAAGCCACTTAAAAAGTAACAAAACACTATTAATAAGTTTAAGAGGATATAAAATAATTTACCATACATTAATTAGATATGAACTACACAATAATCCAAAATATTATAATTGTAATACGTGAATGTTAAATGAAACTTTGTAACCCTGTTTAAGGAAATTGCGAGAGCAAATTAACGTGAAATTTACCACAGTTAAAGTAAATATAGAAAAGAAATTCACGAGGCTATTCTGGGCATTTCTTCGTATGTTGTTTACTATAGTCGTATTTACCAATGGATTTTATTTAATACGTGTAAATAAATATTATAAACAAAAGAAAACTTTAATTTCTTGTCACTTGAGAGTAATCATCATCTACATACAATACTGCGATCTTTACATGGTCGTAAATAAAATCTTTATTTAATAATTTTAACATGGAATATTTCCAAGTCAAACCACGTTGTTAAGGCTGTGGGTGTTACGGTTGTATATCGTTGGTTGTTTTTTTATAACTATGCATATTGGAATAAATTAATACTAATTATTTATCTATTTGATACATAAATTAAAAATAACTTTACTAAAACTTGTTTATCTAAAAAAAACCTTAAATCACATGTTATTGAGAGTAACAAGCTTAAAGTAACGTACATACAAACTGTGTAGTGCATTAAAATAAAACTTAGGAATCTAATTCAGAAGATAGAAACATGTAATCTCTTCTTTTCCGCAATTCATCAACTAACCGTGCGTTTCTGAGACCAAAAACTCAGTAAAAACATAACGTTATCCCTGTCATTATCTTTGGCAAAGAAGAGATAATAATAAGTTTTCAACGTAGATTTTAGCCTCAGAAACTCACAGTTAGTGCTGACCATTTTGCATCTTTCAATTTTAGGGTTCTGTACCTCATAGGAAAAAAACGGAACCCTTATAGGATCTCTTTGTTGTCCGTCTGTCTGTCAAAACACCTTTTCTCAAAAACGCGTGAAGGTATCTAGCTGGAATTTTTTTTTATGTAATATTCTTAAAAATAATAGCCATAGAAATCTCAATTAAATATTAGCAAACTATAAGCATCATAAAGTTTTCAGGTAAATAAAAAAAAGACAAAAGATATTATATAAGTAATTTTATTCAGTACACTGGCATAAAACAATAACGTATACTTTTTATGAAATAAAATAAGCATTAAGTACAATATTTTAATTAGAAATTTGATATACAGTGTGTTCTTTTTCTGACAATAAAAACTTTGTTACGTTAGGTCATGACCAAAATATGCTAATACATTTTTGGATTTGACGGGTCGGTAATAAATTTGAATACATTATTCTAAAAAAATTGATTGATGAAAAGCACACAACATTTTTTTTTCAAATAAATTTCAAAATACATCGTAAAATGTAGATTTAAAAAAGAAAATCAAATTTAATAAAATGTTTACTTGAGTTAATTAAATTTTTAATTTAAGTTTTCGTGTTAAGTGTGTTATCTTCGCATCTAGGAGAGTAAATTATCATTATAATATTTAAGGAACAGATCCCAAAATAGCTTCCTGTGTAGGCGTAAGTGCACGAACTAAAAAACTTATTTTTATAAATGTTAATGAATCAACGTCGCTTTAAAATAGGTGTGTATTTAAATTTTAATCGCCTTTTTTAACTTAAAAAATACTTATTAATGTTCTGCATAATATATAAGTATAAAATTTATTAAAAAATCATGCAGAATCATGTTCCAGGTTACTAACCGCTTAGAAACGAAATCTTGACCGTAAGCAGCTGTCAAGGTTAACTGCATTCTTTAAATATCAAATGGAAACTTTATCAAAGAGACATCGTAACTCTTTAATTCTTTGAAACAAAAGAATTTGTATATATTTTTACAGTAAATAAGCCAGCATTTTACCAAGATATTGATTCGAACCGAATTAATGGCAATCTGACCAAAAGATGGTACGTTTTACATCTTCATACTACGTCTAATTGAGCGTTGATTTTCGAAATATCGTTTTGTATGGTAGTTGAAAATAATTAGGAAATTTATCCCAACAAAAGGCCCTCGCAGCCCTTTTTGGCCTTACTTTTGTCCTCCGGATTAGTTCCTATAGGTTTTAAATCTAAGGTATTATGGAAGTATTCAAGCAGTTGTTTACGGTGATATTTTTGATATTATAATATTATATTCTAAAACATAGATAAAATTTTACTCGTTGGTATTAAAAGTAATAAAACCTCAAGGATTTTTTTAAATTAGACATGTAAATGTTTGCGCTTTCATAATAAATATTAATATTGCGCAACTATCGAGTTCCTAACGGACCCAGTATTGTTAGAGCGTCGAAAAGTTTGTATATTATTCTTAGCACATAATGAAGCCACGTAGTAGACCTGTTAATTATATATGTCTTAACTGCATTGCTTTCAAAAAAAAACTGTATCGCCCCAGCATGTAATAGATGACTGCGACTCTGACGGTGCGAGATTAGTTTTTCAAGCAGCGAAAGCGCTTAGTAGAAATGGTATATTTTACTAATATTATAAATGCGAATGTTAAGATGGATGGATGTTTGTTACAAGGTATCTCGAGAAAGACTCAACAGATCTCGATGAAATTTGGCATAGATTAAGAACATAATCTGGAAGAAGACATAGGTTACTAATTTAGTTTTTTTTTAATTCTGTGGAGGGCCTTAGGCGACAGCTAGTATTTGATAGGAATAATAGTCGCTTTTGACTACAATCGTGTGCCAAATTAAAAAAAAAAATAAACAAAACCGACTGAATGATCAGATCGACGAAGACCACATCAGACAAGTTTAAGGGAAACCCTTAGTGCAGTTCCTAATAGGTTGTTAAATTTTGAACTTAATTTTACTTGTTTATTGAAATAAGAATATTATTATATTTAATTTTTATCACAGTACATATTAAATAATTGGAAATGCAAATGTTATGTGTTGATGTTATCCGTTATACATAAATATAGAGCAAATTTGCATATGGATGACGTACAGACGTTTTTTTTTCACATTATAACATTAGAAAAATAAAATCAATGTAACTCGATTGATATTTTTTACTCATAGAACGATAAACTTAGCTGACCCGGTAGACAGTTTCTTAACTTATAAATGGCAAAATTTTTACTGCCTAAATAGCATCGTTTGATGTATATTTTCATATGAGTATTTTGACAGAACTAAACACGCATACCTTTCTCACCGGGTCATATAAGTTTGTCGTACTATAAATATGTATTCTATTGTACTTCATGTAGTTTAAATATAATTTTATTTTTTAATTGCTTGCGGTGGCAATTATATGACCTTTATACTAATGTTACATATCGGTAAAACAATGTTTTTGCTGACGCCAATAATTGCACCTACTATAATTATAATACTAATTATTGACTATTATATCTCAATAGATAATTACTTTATTCATATTAACTTCTTTATTACAGAACCTGGTTTATGTTACAATGCTCACGTTAAAAGAGTCAAAATTATCATCATAATAAGTCCACTACAGATCCCCAACGAAGGACTCAGAGCCTACCTAAGTCAGGGCCAACTAGACCATATTCAACACAGGCCTAGTGCGAGTTGGTTGAACGTCAAAAGTATATATAATCAAAAATATTCAATAAACATAAAACTTTTTAAGGCAAGTTTCATCAAAATCTGTATATAGATTTCAAAGAAACAAGCATAGAAACATTATTTTATATATTTCCTCATCATCAGCTCACTATACGTCCCCACCGAGGGGCTCGGAGCCTACCCGAAGTTATGGGTGACTAGGCCATAGTCAACCACGCTGGCCAAGTACGGGTTGGTTGGCTTCACACATATCTTTGAATTTCTTCTCAGATATGTGTAGGTTGCATCACGATGTTTTCCTTCATCGTAAGAACGTCGGATAAATGTACATATGCAAGTCAGAAATCGAAAGACACATTGGTACATGGCGGGATTCGAATCCAGGTGCAGCAGCTTGCAGATTGCAAGTCAAGGGCTTGACTCCTGAGTCACCGTAGCTCTTTATATATTTATCAATAGGAAATTGTCAATACTGAAATGAATCGTATATTTAAGTATTTTACTTAAATACTTAAGTGTAATATAAGAGGTCTCTTACGTCTTGTTAACTCAATGACTGTGGACAGAAATAGTCTTGGTTTTGCAACCTATGTTATTAAATCTGTTTCTGTGCCATAACATTTGCATGTCTCTATTCTTGGAACACTAATTTTGTTAAGTGGTTATTTTATATTTTGTCCTGACTATATTATTTTTTAAATAATGAGGTACACGAAAGTAGTAAAGGCCAAGTAATGTAGCAAAAATAACTAAGCACCAGGCACTTTTTTTCTCTTAAATATGATTATTAATCTTATCTTAATCATATTAAATAGTAATCCAAACTTTAAAGAATGTGTAAAATTTTGTAAGACTTACATTGAACTATGTTCTTTGTTGAATAATGTTTTACCTTTCTAAAACATACATACGCTGTCATAGTATTTTGTCAACAATTAATTATTAATAGAAAAGATCTTGCTTAGTTGTCTATAAAGGGAATGTAAAAAAAATCTCTACAAACAAATAGAACGTTTAAGGAAAACAGTATTTGCAACTGTTCCACTGTCAAGAGAAGGAAAACTGATAAGAATATTTTTCCTTAACTTGACTATTCTTTCTTATCAACTTAATAGGTCAATGTAATACATTAATTCTGATTAATTAGTAACATCATGTTTAATGCATCAGAGTTTTCTGCGACTGAATAAATATTGCACTGAATTTTAAATTAATTTGTTTTCCGAATTTGAAGTAGCGCTACATAATATTATATACAATTTACTGTTGACCGCGACTCCGTCCGCACGGAATTAAAAAAAAGCTTAATTAGTAGCCTACATGTTCTTCTAGACTATGTTCTTCATATATGTTAAATTTAAGCAAGATCCATGCAGCTGCTCCGGAGATACCTTTTAAAAAACATCCATTCATCTAAGCATTCGCATTTATTATATTAATAAGTTCATCATTATAATGTTTGTCTAGATAAAAAAAATCTAAGCCAGGTAATCAGATATATTTCACTCGGGTACATTAAAACAAAACCTTTTCGAGATCCGTTGTGCCGTTCTGGACATACCTTTTAACAGATATCCATCAGTCCATACATCTACATCTGAACATTTGCATTTATAATATTAGTAAGATTAAATAAGATATGAACAATAATTAATAAAAAAAAAACAACTTTGTTAATTAGATTATCAACGTTATCAATAAACAAAAGAGGCACGCGACTGATGTTTATTGACCTAATAAAAAATACTAATAATGATAACCTCTAACCTTACAAAAATGACACACAGACGAAACATTGATACGGACAGTTACATGGAAAAGTGTTTTAAAATAAAATAGAGTAAATACCAATTATTTATGTAATATCAAAATAAAATCGTTAAATTTCAAACAAAATAAAATATTTTAACAATCTGTCTGTCTGAATAAGTAACATATTATTTTTTTTTCACTCTGGCAAACTTGCAGACAACACTAAGTGTAAAATAAAAACATATAATGCAAGGTTCTTGTACACACGTGTGAGGTGTCGCAGTTTTTGTACACACGTCACAAGATTTGTCGACAGGTGAAAGAACAGTCTCGAATGTATTCATACTCAATGTCTAGATACAAATTGAGAAACTGGTTTTAAAAGAACTTACATAATTTTTTCAACGACGTATTACTTATTTGTCTATAAATTATTTATTTTACGTTGCTTAATTTATTTCATCATCAGCTATACGTCCCCACCGAGGGGCTCGGAGCCTACCCTAAGTTAAGGGTGATTAAGCCATGACTATGGCCAAGTGCGGGTTGGTTGACTTCACACATATCTTTGGATTACTTCTCAGACCTATGCAGGTTGCATCACGATGTTTATGTTTATTTATCTATATGTTAATGCTTTTAATTATTTTTTATAAGTTATTTAAGGTTACATTACATATCGAAATTAAAATACTCGACTGGTATTTTCCCTAAGGATGGTCCGCATCGTATGTATACTATTTATCTATAAGACTCTATCTGCCGTCATATCTGTATTCACTCTTCTTACGCATATCCCCTACAAAACCCAGCCATACTTTCTTTCTACCTTTATTACCATCCACATTCAATCTTAGTAAAAAATCCTGACAAATTTCCAATAAGTTCCGTTTAACGTGAAGTAATTCAAAGTTATTTTTTTTATGTAAGAATTAAACTTACATACTCATTGTAAAAGAGATATAAAGTTACATTGATACAGTTATGGTTTGACAGGGACGTATTATTACAAGGTTTAACTTGAACGGTTATCTTTATTTAAAAAAAAAACTAAGCTGTCATGTTATACGGTACTCGTAAAAGTTCTGTTTTTTTTTAGATTTAAAAGATCAATGGGCGTTTCTTATTAATATTGGTTGAGTAGTTTTCTAAGTTTTAAAGTTTAAAAAGATAAAAAAATAATTCTTTTTTTTTTGTTTGAACTTGGGTAACAGCTTACGGATCAATGTGTTAACTTGTTTACGGTGGATGATATAACAAACGCGTTTTTATCTTTGGATTTTTTTCTAAGACTTGTGATCCCAAGTCGATCCCGGCCACAAACCGGACAGAATTGCTAGCCGTCAGTAAGTAATTAAATTTAATGCATTCCATTTTAAAATGTATTACGAAGCACTTATTCTAGAAATAATTACTTCTAAACTCATTCAAACACATCGCTAGAAATTCGAGATTGTACATATTTTAGACACCAAAAAATCTTATCTAAGATTAGCCGTAATTTTAAATTGTTGTTGTATTTCTTATTAAAAAAAAATGAACTCTAATAGTAATTTAACTACAGCTTGATTTTATACACACAAATTAACCTTCACATAACATTTTATAAATTCCTTTGCCCTTTGCGAGTTCAAAGTTTAATGGCTTGATGAATTTAGATCACTCTGATTGCGTAACATTAGACAACAGTTAACGATTACATCGATCGAAGTAACCAAGTTGGCTGTGATTTTTAATAATTCTTTTCTAATTGCATCTTTCTTTATATACAAGACTATTACTATTACAAGACTATTAAAACTAAGAATTCATCATTTCCTCTACCTTAACAAGATTGTACCAATTATAAGTAAAAACAGACCTTAAAAAAATCACAACTAATCGATCTAGGAAGAGAGTCATTTGTTTTTCATTAAATAAATTACTTACTCTATTAGTTAATAAGAAATAAAATGCTGGCAACATTTATCTAAAGCAATAAAATAATTATGGATCCGTGATTATTTTATTATTTTATTAAGATCAGTCAGAGCTCTATTTTACTGTGGCTTGCGTCCGTACAATACGATAGATCTTACGATGTACTTGTAGGTCTGTCCCTTAAGCTTCACTAGCATTCTTGGATCACTAGTCCCACTAGTTTCCTGACGCCATGTCATATATTTAACCTAAATGTAACTTATCACGGATTTTTCATGGTTAGGTCCATCATTTCTGCCTAAAACTGAATAGCGATGATAAGTCGATACATCTAATTTTAACACACTTTTATTCCCCTGAACTAAACTAGTTCAAATTTAACTTTAAGCTTTTTTAATATAAATAGTTGAGCAAATGAAATTTCAACTGGTTATCATATTTGTCAACGTAATACTATTAGGTAGTAATCAAATAAAGTGATAATAAATTCAAATAGAATAAAAAAAACCTCTATATATTTACATACATTTTTATATTCCACGATAATTTTCCCTCAAGTCTTAAGAACTGGTTGAAATAACTACCTAATACCATTTAGATAAAATAATCACATAAAATTGGTACATTCCTTTTAATGTAATCTTACCAGGGCTCTTTATAATCCCATAAAATCATAACACCATGATGTGAACGAACTCCCTACGGACCTTTGAATTTATATTTATATTACTAGCCGCAACTTCGTACGTGTGGAAACAAATACAGAGTTAAAAAAAAAAACTAAAACAGACATTGTATAAATAAATTTGAAATGATAATCTACCTGTTCCATGAAATTACGGAATTCCCAAGGAAAATTTATGCATCTAACAGAATATTATCTAACGTAAGTTATATGTAAATATTAATAACATACTATTATTTGATATACTCCTTGTGCAAATAAATAACTACAAAGATAATAATAACGTAAACTTATTAATGAAAATATTATTTAAACTTGTGCAAATATTTATTTATTTGTGACTATGGTAACACATAAGAAGAGTTTTAAAAATATAAATTATTTATAATTTGAAGACGTATCTTAATTATTAGTATTATAAACGCGAATATTAAGACAGATATTAGAAGGTATCTCCAGAACGGCTGTACAGATCTCGCAGAAATTTGGCATAGGCGTAGGACATAGCCTGGAAGACATATGTTACTAATTAAGTTTTTCTTCTGACCCACTCGTGCGCGGAAACAGCTGCAGCGACAGTTAGTTAATTTATACAATTAATGTCCAATTAAATTATACTAAAAACAAACGTAATTTAAATAGTTATCTTCAAATTGAAGAATGCTGTTTAAATCTAGTTTTGATTATTAGGTAAAAATATAGTGTCGCGATTGACAAAGATTAAGTAGATCATCTGCATTCGTCCAGTCAACACATGTCCGCGCGAGCGAAAGAGAAAGAAACAGAGAACAGTAAACTGGTTAAAAAATATATACGGAACGCTTGAAATAATAATTCTTTTTTTTCTCTTTTTTTTAAACTTCGAAGACCGTTAGTAGTACCTTAATAGACATCGGCGCTTGTTGTCGCGTTGAATCACAGTATCTGTTGTTTATTAATTTGTGTTGTGGAAATTCCGAGGGCTCTGTTTGCGATATGTTAGTGCACGTATCGTAGCTTAATAGTGTTAGATATTAAAGCTGTAAGCAAACAGTGGAAGCGCTTATTTATTGCAGATTTATCAATGAGACCACCTGCAGTTGTCTTATAAAACGTTGTTGTTTTTCGATCGTATTCACATTCGCTGAATTCGGCGGAGGAAAGTGAACTGTAACATGGGTGTTAATGGAGGGAACTATAGAGGCAGTGAGTGTGATGATAAGAATTATGAAATGGTCCCCCCTGAAGGGGGTTGGGGGTATTTGGTGTGCGTCGGATTGTCTGTTATATTTGTAAGTATTAATATTTTCTTTTTGTGATAAAGTTAATATTTTTCTTAGTACTTTTATTAGCATAATTACTCAGAATTTCACAATATTTATTAAATATATTTTTTTAGCATCAATGGTAAATAAAAGATAGTCGTAAAAATAGTATTTTTTAAGATATGTCTCTGACTTTGAATACGTGATTTTATTTATTACATATTTTCATTTTGTTAATATTTGTTTCTTGTGCAAACGTATATTATATACAACGTATAAGTGTGTGTGTGTGTTTTTTTTTTCAAATTATTTGCGCAAGAAAATCATTGGTTGTTTGAATTGAACCTTGGACTAAAAATTAATAACTTTTGGACCATTGGGTAATTGAAAAATAAAACAAATTTACATACCGCAGTACAAAATATTAGGGTTTTTGTTCATAAATCGTTTGTAAAATAAAGAAAATTAACAAAAATACTCCATAATAAATTTTACGAAGTTTTTTTTTATTTTACCGAGTCAGTACTCGTATGTTAAAGGAATTGACATTTAAAAAAAAAACAAAAAGTTTTAAGATTGTTTTATTATAATGTTCGGGCATAAGGTTTTTTACCCACCATTGCTTTTTTATTTAGAGCCCAATCAAACGTAAAGAGTATACCCAGTTTAATGTGGACGATATAATGATCCTTAAATTGATCCTTAAAGCATTTTTAAAATCACTATATGAATGTCTAACTTTAATTACAAGTGTGAGTTTCCACTATCGTAACATGTATTAAAGCATATTCTGTTTATTGCTTAGGTTATTTTTTTAAAGATAATGTAGATTATAATATGATTTTACACAAGAGCTGCGGCAGTGGAATCCTACGTTAACTGTTATCAGATTTACTTAAGCAATTCCTACTACATGTAGTCCGGTCGATTACCTGTCTGAACCAATTACACATATACATATCTATCTATACAATTAATGTTATTGAAATGTCAGTATGTAATATAAAAAAGCAAATTTCGCGAACATAATGTACTTGCGCTTATGATGTAATTTTTTTTGTCTGTATGTCTGTCTGCAAGTCCCGTTTGTTCTGGGTAATTTCCGCTAGGCTGTTTTTACGGGACTTTGACTGGAAGGTAGTTGATGTATGCGAGCATATTATAAACCGCTCTGCGATGATGAAATCGCGGGTGACCGCTCAAAAATCAAAATGTAAAAGTATTTTTAGTAGAACAACATAAAATAAATATAAAATACACGAGTTTAAAAATATTACTACTTAACCATAAAGTAATTTAAAAAGAAAAAACAAACGCCAAAAAGAATATAAGTACATTACATGTTAAATTACATTATTATTATGTTATCTTTTTATACGCTGAATATTGTGTCCAATATTGCCAGTGTTTTCTAATTTAGCCAGTTATTTTTCGTCTGATTCAAGCAAAACTTAAAAGCCTTTGTCGATTGTGACCGGTACATAATTTACATTTTATTTCAGTTCCACTGTGTTAAACAAGGTAATATGGACCATTCGAATCAAATATTTGCCTTAATGAATATTCACTTTATTATTTTCGTAATATTAAACTAATTAGAAAAGATCGTAAATACACGACAAATTGTTTCTCCATATCTTGGGTTATAAATCAAACCAGTTAAAACCGGTTTATAGATTTAAGTGCAAATGCACTAAAGTGAACTTACTGAATCGAAGATGATATAAATGACGTCTGTTGATAATATTTATACGATCCAACTGCAGTTTTCATATTGATCTCTGTAACTGGATAAGGCATTGATTGAAAATTACAGTTGTTGCCCCGTTTCAACTTAAAAGAAGCGGGTAATATTCGTGATACTAAATTCTATTTCTACCATTAGTTCAAATCTTAACAACCGCCACCGTCAGCTCCAAAATGGCGTAAATCAAATAGGCACAAAACACCACGTTTCATAGCCACTCTATGTATAGAGGTCAGAAATTTTTTGACAAAATTGACACTTTTATATTACATCTCTATCTTATCAAAGGGAAAGCAAGGGATGGCAATATTAATACAATTGTCAATGCTATAGACTTCTGTGGTGAAACTCAACGTAATCAGTACTGATAATAATCCTTACACAAAGATAAGTATTATAGTTTAATGAGAAGTCAATGAGACCAAGCTATAAAATGTTTTACGACAGGTCACGAGATAAACTTCAAGACAAAACGTTTTGCAACTTAATAAATTATAGAAACAAGGATGTAAGTACATTAATGCGTTGCTACGCCAACTTTGTATTTATCTGTAAATACACTAAATAAGATAATTTCATAGTTCGCTGTTTACGATTTTTTTCTGTGCATATAAACCGACCGATAATTTTACTTAAACATAATTAATTTGATTATAAAATCTTACTAATTTTATTCAATGCGAAAGTTTTTAGACCGGCTAAAGGGATTTGAAATTGGTTATAGATGTAGAGCATAGTCTGAAAGAACACATAGGATACTAACTTATTTTTTTTTTATTAATACTGGTATCATTTAGATTCAAAATTACCGAATCCAGAGTTGAAAATTCAAAGAGGGATAAAGTTAATACATTCGTAATATATTGAAAGCTGTAAATTAGGAATAATAATAATTAATCAATGACGCAAAAGTATTATGCTGATGTTCAAATTTCACGCAGACCTAATGTACTTATTCATAAGTACGTGTGAATTTAGTCATGTAAGCAATTACATTAGAAGCATATGCCTACTTAATTTTGCTTCGATAAGACATTTTGCTTTTTATATAACATTTTAATAATGATAACCAAGCATTGATTGCCTTGTATTAACAAATATGGATAGTTATTCGGCATGTTTGATATGTTGTGACCGATTAGAAAATTAACAAGCGGTTTGGTATCCGTTTATACAACAGGGGGCCTAGCACGAATACGTGTGACAGTCGTCTTCGTATCGTCATCGTCAATTATGTCAAAATGAAATATAAGATTTTCGGTGCACTTTACTCCCAATAGAGGCGCTGCACAAATTTTAATATATTTTTTTTCGAGTACGATACGATGGCGATTGTCACAAATATTCGTGCTAGGCCCACAGTACGTTCACCTTTCACACTACAATGGCTACGGAGGAGTTTTAGGGAAGAAAAATACATAAAGCTGTTCCTAAGAGTAGAGTAACTTTAGGATTTGTCCTCTTTAGTAATAAAATTGTATTCGTTTCTAAAATCTCTGGCCGGTCAAATTCTAATGTGCCTGTGTAATGTGTTCTTGTGTGCGTTTTTACGACTTGAAACATTAGGTTAGGTTTGATGTAACAATTTTTATTTGTAACAAAGATTGCATCACTTTTATTGTTTAACTTGTGAATTTATAATTGCAATTGATTTCCAATAAATAAATACCAGTGTTAAGGAAAACTCTTGACACGTGTTAGGAATCAATTATATTACAAATCTTACTAATATTATAAATGCAAATATTTAGATGGATCGATATGTTTCTTAGAAGGCATCTCCAGAACGGCTTAACGGATCTCAGTGAATTTTGCCATAGGTAGAGAACATAATCTAGAAGAAAACATAGGCTACTTAGTAAGTTTTTGTTAATTCCGCGCGGACGGTTTCGTGGGCTATAACTTGTATAAAATAAGGACGATGACAAAATACAAGGATTTTTAATTCATCAATTTAGATTATATCCTTTGCGTACGGACGCTCACACGATGAACTCTACAGGTTTTAGTTTCGTAAACAATTTAACATTACAATTGAACGAATGATATTCATGTTTTCTTGTCCTTAATTTCTATTTGAGTAACATCAATACAATATTTAAATTTATTTCATAGTCTTCATGTACCTAAAATAACTTACATAAACCCAGCTATTAGCTTATTAGTGGCATATGTGTTTTTCCAGACTTTGTTCTATATTTATACCAAATTTGGTCGCTATCCGTTCAGCCGTTCTTGAGATACCTTCAAAAACGTCCATTCAGACAATCGCATTTAAAATGTCGATAAGATATCGGGTCTCTTAGCTTAATTTTATTTGAGTAAAATAACAAATAAACAGTCGAAATTCAATTACAAACACAAAAATATCGAGTAATTAAAAAGCTGCACACGACTGTATTATCAACAATTAGTAAGATAATTATTCCAAAACTAAAAGCTCTGAACAAATTTAATATTAAGCCTATTCAATTAAACGATGTCAGGGCCTTTATTACGATTATTTGTAACCTTACACGTCAATTATCATATGTTTATACTTATAAAAACTTGTTTACAATTTTTACCTATTTAAGTTACGAATAAAACCAACATTTAATTACATTAACCCGGAATTAAACTAATATTTTGATATGGAAACTTTCCTTAAAACTACATCGATTATTCTATATGTGTAACATTAATATTCAATATTTATTATTAAAACCTCTTTGTAATAAAGTCATCTATAATAATTTACGACTTAAACATCTGTCAAGTTTTTTTTTAAAATGATTATACATATTGTTATAATAGTTTGCTTTTTTAGTTTGTCATTACAGGAATTCTTAAGCCGGCTACACACACTTTTTTTTAAATTACAATCTTTAGAAATGCTGACACCGAATTTTAACTGACAGAAGAAAGTGTCTCAGCTTTTTCTAAACGTTTTAACTGTATAGTCCGATTGTTCAGTTAATTCTGTACCGTTGAGAGATGTGTAGCTGGCTTTATAATAAAAATAAAAGCAAAGTATATAATACGCTATTTCTATTCAACAGTTATTGGTGTATAATATAATAAATTATGTAAATATTTTAGGAGAGCTTCCATTGACCAGACAATAATAATATATAAATTATTAAAATATTATAAATAGCTTGAAAAACGATCTTTAATTTGATAAATATTTCAATTTTTTGTTTGACAGAAGTTACTTTATTAAATAATAATGCATACTTTACTTTAAGTTTATATGCTGTTATAATAATGTTAGGCGCTACATTTTTTTCATATGACGCTTGACCACGATTGTAATTGGTAATAAGGTTGAAAGAAAGTACGGGCATCTCTAGTAATATGTAACAAAATTCGAAGTTAAAAAGATTAATAAGAGGTATTTTTAATGCTTTTTTTATAATTCCAATTAGTTTGACTTACTTGTGATCTTTCGCATATCGCAAAACGTATTGTTATCTTTAATTAAATTTTATTTTCCTGTAATATCTGATGCAACATACTACAGGGGGAGCCTTGATTTATTTCCATAAAACATTCAGAAATTAGAATTGAATGGTATTGTCATTGTTACGGTTCGGATTACAAATCATAAATTTTTAATTCCTCTTTATTACAAGGAAGAAATAAATGATGAAAGAGTTGCTTAGCACGCAAACGTTCTGAGATTTGCTTCTATTGCATATTTTGTTCTATGTGCGGAAAGACGTTAAAAATATAATTCCGTAAGCTACAGCTAAGCTAAGATTTATTATAACTGTTTTTATTTTTTTCTTAGATAGCGGGTACTGCCCATCAGCCTGTGTTTGGTTTCATTTATAATGACTTTTTGGATGAACTGGGGGCGGGTACAGGGGCTGTTACCGTCGTTTATGGAGTGTTCCAAGTCACAGTAGCGTTAGCAGGTAATCAAAAATTTTTTATTAACGTGTCGACAGCTTATTTATGTGTTCACCGAGGGTTCATTTGCTTACCTTAGATAGTCACTGACTAGGCCGTGTACATATTGACCCAATACGGTTTGGAAAATCCTTTTCTAACATCTTATTAACAATTTATGTACAAGTAGAGAGGTAGAGTTGGGACGATAGGAATGATCTTAAGCTAGCTTTTATAGCTGTGTATACATTCGAAATTAATAAAGTTTTTTTAATACCGCGCACGGAGTCACGTGCGACAGCTAATGTTTAAAATAAAATAGGCATTCGCATATTTTTTTTTGCATCAAACAAAAGCTATTTTAAAACTACGTCGATTCTTAAGCTTTTAGATAACATTGGCAATCGTAATAATGGATCCGGTATGAAATGCTGAGTAGTAATGGATCTGGAATGGAAAATCTATGTTAGTTTTGCAGTTCAAAGTTATAACGAGTAAGATAATAAGTTTGCGATAGTTGTTAACTTAAATGAAGTAGATTTTCAAGTACAATGTGGTAGATAAGTTGAAAATGTACTTCATTTTATGAGAATTTTTAAAGATTTTTTTGCTATAAAAGCAGAATCTTATCTACTACAAATATTGTAAAATATATTTAGCTAAAAAATAAACTACGTCGCAGTAAAATTGCACGAGATGTGTATTGTTTTGAAGAAAGTGTACTATTAACATTTCAAAGACTAAATAAAGAGAGTTAAAATGTAAATTGTAGACAATAAATGGAAAACTAAATCATTAAGACGTAGTAAAGTTATTGTCAATTCTTTGTGTTAAAAAGATTACGCGATGAGACTTCGTGCATCTTTTAGTTTGACTGAATTATACTCTGACAATTCTTAAAGTTATTTTCTTCTTTCAGGTTTTTCAGCAAACATAGCTCTGAAGAAACTATCTTTAAGGCAAGTTGGTCTGATAGGAGCCAGTATTTATACTTTAGCGTCATTTTTAGCTATATTTGTTACATCAACAACACAATTGATAGTAACAAATGGATTCCTACAAGGACTCGGAATGGGTTTACTTATACCAATATCATATACGAGTTTCAACAGCTATTTTACAAGAAAAAAAGTACTATACCTAAGTTTATGTAAAGCTTCAATAGGACTTATAACTATGGTTTATCCATTGTTTATAAAATTTACAATAACAGAGTACGGCTTTAGAGGGACATTGGCTATTTTGTGTGCGATATCTGCGCACAGTATATTTGGAGCGTTAGTAATGCATCCAGTGAAATGGCATATGATCAAACAGATAAAATCTTGTGAAAAGATTGTTCGTAAGTTTAATATAATATCTTATATTTTATTTTAATATCACATTTAGTATAATGATGTAAAAAAATGGTAATTTAATTTCCAGTAATCCCGCCCACGCCTGCTACAGCTACTGAAGAAAATAAATTTAATTTTCCAAAAATTAAACATAATAAAACAGATGAAGCGAAGTCAGTTGAAAATTTATTAATAGCTAATACAGATAAACAAAAAGATCGATCAGAATTATTACTAGTACCGAAATTAGTTGACTCTAGAAGACTAAGTATACCCGTAGTTTTAATTCCTGATGACCCAAGAACGGATAGTAAATTTAATTCCAACGATAATGTTTATTTAGAAAATCTATACAAAGCGGCATCTGTATCCAGTTTAGGTAACTTTGGTGGTATTGCAGCTGAACCAATGCCAATAATTAAAAACAAAGAAGGAAAATGGTAAGAAGTATTTTAAACTCTTTTAATTAATGCTGTAGAATGTTATACTTTTTTTATAACGATAAGTAAGCAGGTCATGATGTTAGATGAAGCCTGATGTAAGCCGCTGCCTATAGTTTAACAATGATAAAAATTGCAATTGCCCTACCATTATTAGACAGAGGAAAAGACAAACAGAAAAATTGTACCAACCATGTCAAACGTCCTAAAGATTTTTGTCAAATCAGGAAATTCTGAGAAAAATGACTACGATTGGGCTTACTCTATTTTTTAATTTATACGTATGTTTTTTTTTAATTATCGCTTTTTTTCGCAGGCAAACTGTAGCAGACTTCTTGGATTTAACACTTCTGAAGGATTTGGTGTATGATAATATCATCATTGGGATGTCTTTGACATTCTTTTCTGATCTGACTTTCTTCACGCTGGAGCCCTTATTTCTGGATAAAAATCACCTTGATAGGGTAAGAATTAAATTTAATTTATAATACTTAGCATAGTAATATGAAGTAAAAATACTTAAAAAAACTTGATTATATTTCACTTTTGTTTATTATGTTATTATGAATAGTTGACCAATCAGGAAACTATTTATCTTCAGGATAATTGTCACTAAACGCATTATTTATTATCAATTCTTTTTTCTGCAAAAGAAGCGCATATCAATCTTAAAGAATGAGTTTTTATATGTTTTTTTTTATTAAATTGGAATCTTAGATGCAAGAAAATCTGAATATTAAATTACATATTGTTGGATGTGAAATCATCAAATATGGTCAAAATAATTATATTAAAGCTAATATTTATTAAATTTATGTTTGATTCGACTTATTAAATATAAGTCAGGCATTAATTTCTTAATAAACAGGATTTTATTATAAATTGGATAATAAATTAAAATTTAATAATTCTATGGGAATAATTTAGCTGCAAAGTATTAGAGATTGAATGCAATGTCAAGGTTACTCCAGTGATTATTATTAATGTTATTCCAATGCCATTTACGATGACTTTATTATCAACTTAAAAGTCTATTGATTTGCTAGTCATTTGTTTTATGCTTTAAAAATATCTTCATTAAAAAACTTAAAACAGAATTATTAACAAAAAAGGCGTAGTTGTCTATCGAAAAGAGCCAAATTAAACCACTGCAAAGAAAGGTTTTCAAACACTATTTTGCCTCTTTGAAATATAGCAAGTTAAACTATTCCACTAAATAAGAAATTTACGAGAATCATTTAAAGTTGTGTCAATATGCTGCGGTTAGGTCAAACTGGTCGAAATCCAACGTTTGATAGAGGCTACTTAACATACTCGTCCTGAAAACTTTCCATCATAGAAGTACAACCTGTGATTCGTTGAAAAAGGAAAAGATTTACATGCAAAGTAGATTTTAGTAGGGCAAAAATGTTTAAAATAAATATTAAAAAAAATAACCGTAATTAATTACGAGTAAATTATGAGTTCTAAAATTGAAATGTAATTCTTTTAAAATAATGTCAGCTGTTTATATTTTAAATCTAATATTTCATCAGGGACAGATAGCAAACATCATCGCCACCGGTGGAGCAACTGACATGTCCGCGCGACTATTATTAGGTGTATCTGGCCAATTCTTCAAAATGAACAGTCGCTACATGTTTTATGTGGGTGCTCTTCTAACTGCCATATTTCGTATAGGTAAGTCTAACATGATTTCTTCTCAAACATTAGTTTTTTTCATCGTTTTCTTATTAGAAAAACTTTCTTCCCATCAATTTCTAGTAAAAATGGAAGAGGTAAAATTTAAAGTAAAAGATGAATAGTAATAAGATTATAGGAAAAAAATTACAGGAAAAGGTTTATAGGAAAAGTTATCCTTTTTTAGTTTATCTCCTCCTCTGTTCAATAAAAGAAGGCATTATGTTATTGCATCGTGTTGATAGCTTCATTTGCCGCCTTTGATGTATATTAAGTTCTCATTTTTTTTTCTTTTTCAGTTTTCGTACAATTTACATCATATATTCCCCTATTAGTATTGACTGGGATTTTAGGAGCCATAAGATCCCTTCTGCACATAGCCCAGCCAATTGTGATGGCGGAACATGTTCCTATAGAAAGATATCCACCTGCTTACGGCTTGTACATGCTGTTGGCTGGCGGAATTAGTTTAACTATCGGACCGATGATAGGTAAGATTCAGATTCAGATTATTAGCCGACTTATTCAGAGATAATAGGATTTGTAGAACGAAAACCTAGTCTCTACATAGTCATCGACTCTACATAGAGTAGGTGGAGGACATGATGATATAACCTTTTTAGTCTAAATGACAACCGATTTTGACGAATGATGTGTCACTCGATTCTATTTGTATTCTTCCTTCGAGTATCATACAATATGCATACATATATAGATGTACAATGCTAAGAATTTTTTTTACTTTATTAAATATTCACCGTTAGGCTTTTATAGACCAATGTGGTTAAAATTTATGAGTGCTATAAAAACCCCGCCCACAAAGTTTTGCGTGTTCCACTCGCAACGTAATGGAATAATACTAGGAGCGGAGAAAGTTATATAAGAAAACTGATTCACAAAGTGTCACAACAACTCGACTCAGTAACTTCTTGATTAATATTCAAAGCTAATCTTAATGTAATAATCGTGTTTCTCAAAGCCAACAGACTAATGCCGCGGTAATGATATTTGCTTTTGAGTCGAGATGATTTGTAACATTCATAATTTACCATAAAACGAAAATCTAAGGCTTTACAAATAACTTGCTGTCGTCCGCTACTTCGTACACGCTGAATTAAAAATAACTTAACCTATGTGTTCTTTCCGGCTATGTCCTACATATTTATCTAATTTCTGCGAGATCCATGCAGACGTTCTGGAGATACCTTCTAACAAACTTATATCTATCCATCCATACAAACATTCGCATTTATAATATTAGTAAGTAGTACGATCGTTTGGAGTAGGAAACTTAAAGTAAACCAGTTAAAAAAGCTAAAAGTTATTTTATGTGTATTTTTTTGAATTCTCATTATTTTTTTTCTTTCAGGCTTCATTCGTGATTACACTGGAAACTACGTTTTAGCTTTTAGCATGTTGACAATGTGCAACGTCCTATGTGTTGTTCCGTGGACTATAGAGGCTATATTAAAATATATGAGGCATAAAAAAAATACAAAATGTGTTCAAGGTTAAATGTAAGAATTATAGTCACTTCGGAATAATTTCACTATTCGTACATAACATAAAATGTATCAAAAATATTGCTAAAATAAATAATGAAAAGAGGTTAAACAAAGACAACCTTCAACATCGATTATGAGTTACCACCGACTCATAAATTCCTCGCCCACCCGACACCACCACGCCTCGTAATCGCCGCGACATTCACTCGTCGCCACCTCGACGTCGCCCAAGGCACGGATAAAGATGTTAGCAAAACGTCAATCTCGCTTCCACGGGTTGACGGTGCGCGGTCATCGAGGCGTCGGCGAGGCGTCCGCTCACCACCAAGCTGACCGCCACGTCGCAAGTGAACGGTGCACCGTCCTCTTGTCAAGACGGCAGCGAGGCGGATGGCACGTGAATAAGCGTCGCTCTATGGCGGTGCTGGATGAACGAGGAGTAGAGCAATGCGCCTTTATCTTAAAATTACATCAAAGAGACTCGCGATATTCAGTCGTGATAAGCGATAGTCCAATATTATATTAAAATCATTTAATCAAATTGAAGAAGACGATGTGCCATATACGTAGTTGTATTATTAAAACTTTATTTGGAAAAAGAATCACTGTCCCTAAAACAGTAATAAAAATGTGCTCGGATGCAAGTTGTAATAATTAACATTGATTGTAAGCAAAAAATATATAACCGAAGTACCCAAGTAAGCACATAAAAGACGACGAAATCGCATAAGATAATGTAAATCCGCGGAAAATTAAGGACCACTAAGACTAGGGAGTTAGACGTTAATTATAAAAATCATGAAAGATTTATTACTGCCATATTTACTTACAATGGGCGCATATATTTTGTTAACTGAAAAAAGCCAGCGACTTGCCCTCCGATAAAAACAATTAAGTTCTTTACTAAGCTAAATAAGTAAACTTTATTGAGAAATTCAAGATATTAAATTTTTGACATCGTGTAATATGTTCGAGGAATCATAGAATCAAAAAACATATTATCAGTTTAAAAATACTTAAACATTTTGTATTTACAAAATAAGGAATTAATTTGAAATACTCATTTAGATTTAATATTAATTGTATATATATAGTTTTGTTTATTGTAAATTTTATTGTAATTGTCTATAAATTCACACACATGTTTTGTAAATAAATATTTTAAGCTATTAATTTGGGTTTGTTTTTTTTGATAATACACTAAAAGTAATAGGGGAAAAACAATAAATCTAATTATTTTTAATGTACTAGCTGTCGCCCGCGACTCCGTCCGCGCTGGATTGAAAATATATGTTGGCCGATTCTCAGACCTACTCAATATGCTTACAAAATTTCATGAGAATCGGTCAAGCCGTTTCGGAGGAGTATGGCAACGAAAATTGTGACACGAGAATTTTTAAGACAATAAAGTAAAAAAAAATCCTCATAAATAAAAATCATTTAAGGCAAAGATCCTCCTGTTAATAGTAAATAAAAACAGTAGAATTAAGAATTAAGTACCGATAAAGGATGTCACTTCTTGCTGCATGTGTCTGCGGCACGAATAAACTGCTCAACCAATGAAATACCACAACAGCACAGAAGACAGACGTAGATTGGAAGTAATTGCGCGTTACGGTTGGCAAATTATTGAATTAGTAATATATTTTTTTATTAATATAAGAGCGTCGGTGGCTCAGGGGTCAAGCACTTGACTTGCAATCTGCAGGTCCTGGGTTCGAATCCCGCCATGCACCAACGTGTTTTTAGATATCCGATTTACATACATACATAGTTCTTGCGGTGAAGGAAAACATCGTAATGCAACCTGCACATATCTGAGAAGGAATTCAAAGATATGAGTTAAGTCAACCAACCCGCACTTGGCCAGCGTGGTTAACTATGGCCTAATCACCCTTAACTTAGGGTAGGCTCTGAGCCCCTCGGTGGGGACGTATAGTGAGCTGATGATGAATATATTTTTTTCCGTGTAAACATATATCTATTACATAGTATTATATATGTTCTTTGGAACATACAACTTTATGAAATCATAAACATTCACATAAAAAAAAATTCTTTGGTTTATTAGTCTTAAATCTTATTTTAGTGTCCTAGCATACAATCTAATCTTAATTATTATAATTTTTGCTGAGATATATGTTAATGTCTTATCAGATTTCACATTTTACACATTACAACATTTTTTAATTAATATAATGATACGATTACCGAAATAACATGTGCGAACATTTAATAAAAAGTAGCTAATGATAATTAAGTATAAAATTATCTAATTTGTTATCTATCATATCTTTTAATATAAAAATCAATGTTAATAAAACTAATTAAAGTTGGGAGAGTACTGCAAAGATATCCAATACAGCTACTAACCCAAATAACAAAAAAAAAATTTGGGAAATTCCCAAAAAAATTTTTTTTTGTTATTTTTTTGCGATCTTAATTTTGAAAAAAAGTTATAAATTTTATTTGCTATTATTTGAAACCAAAAACTGTCTATCTCACCTTGAAAAATTACTTAAACCTCAATGTAATTATTCCACGAACACAAAGTCACGGGCAAGAACTAGTAAAAATGACGTAATTTATTATCAGTCGCAGTACAACGCAAATATACAAGGGAACAAAGAAAAGTTATCGCCTCACGTGTGCCATTTATAGTATACAATGCTTTATCTAGTACATCCGGACGTTGTTAACAGTTCAACTGTGTAACAGACGAGTAAGGAACATCACTATGGTGACTGGTGGTCGTGTTGAAAATAATAAAATCGAAATAAGTGATAGTGAGGATGTACCTGATAATAATATATGGGGATATATTGTTGGTTTTGGTACAATCATAACATTTGTAAGTATCATCTTATATATAAAATTCTCGTGTCACAATTTTCCGATTCCCATGATATTTTGTGAGCATATTGAGTAGGTCTGAGAATCGGCCAACATCTATTTTTCATCCCCCTAAATGTTAAGGGTAGTCCACCCGTAAATTTTCATTTTTTAGACAAACACGCAGACGAAATCGCGGGCGACAGCTAGTTTCATCTAAGATTGTTTCTTGCATTTAAAATTACTTTTTTTATTTCTTTAAAAACATATAGTATAAGTAATATAGCTAAAGCTATAATAAATCAGATGAGAATGCAATGTTTTAACACTTTTTTTAAACATATATAAATATTGTTGTGTTATCAGATTGCAGGAATTGGACATGTGAATTCATTTGGACTTATTTACAATGATTTTATTATTGAAACAAATTCTACTGCAAAGTCATTGACCACCGCACATGGAGTGTTCGCCATAATGCTGGCTATTGGAGGTAAACAGGATTTATTGTTGAATCGAATTATTTAAATAAATGTTAATCAATGCATATTAACCACATTTGTTAATTAAATTAAATTATCATCATCATCATCAGCTCACTATAAGTCCCCACCGGGGGGCTCGGAGCCTACCCTAAGTTAAGGGTGATTAGGCCATAGTCAACCACGCTGGCCAAGTGCGGGTTGGTTGACTTCACACATATCTTTGAATTTCAGATATGTGCAGGTTGCATCACGATGTTTTCCTTCACCGTAAGAACGTCGGATAAATGTGCATATGTAAATTGAAAATCGAAAAACACATTGGTACATGGCGGGATTCGAACCCAGGACCTGCAGATTGCAAGTCAAGTGCTTGACCACTGAGCTACCGACGCTCTAAATTAAATTAACATGGAAAATTTATATATATAAAAATAAAAAAAAAGTGACAGTTGGGTTGAGTTCCTACTCCAATTGGTTGAAATACGATAAACTGGATTCACATGAATGGCTCAATTACCAACTAAAAGGAAATTTGGAAAATTTACAAGTGCTTGTTATTGACTCTAGCTAATTTCTAGTAGCAAGGGTATTGTATCTATCAGTACTAAAAATTGGCTAGTGATATTCACTTATTTTAATTCCAGGATTGTTCCTCAATATGATAATAAAAAAACGCTCTTTAAGATTTGGTGGATTACTGGGTGCATTAATATTTTCAATTGGATCTTTATTAACGATATTAATAACAAATACAAACCAACTGCCTCTAACATTTGGAACTCTACAAGGAGTTGGTTTCGGAATGATGGTACCAGTTTGTTATTCAACATTAAATTATTACTACGTCAAGAGAAGAACGCAAGTAATGAGCGTAATAAAAGCACTACAAGGATTTATTCTAATGTGGTATCCACAGTTAATTAAACTATTTATGACGGAATATGGATTTAGAGGGACATTGTTAATAATATCAGGAATATCGTTGCACGGTATACCAGGCATGGCTGTTATGAGGACTAAGCCATTAAGAAATTTCCGAACCGCAAGTATTTTTTTCTCTTACTGATGATTTTTTGATACAGTAATTAACTCAGCTCATATCAATAATTTATAATTAACAGAAGATGCCAAGAATGATGGTGAACAAGAAGATTTATTGAATGTTGAAAATGGTAAACTAAACGTGCTGAAACTAAATGAGAAGAATTTAACAGACGAAGAAGATAAAAGCAAAATAAAAGAAATTAGGTACATTTAATTATTTTTTTAAATTACATATGCAAGCTAAAGTTATCTCAGTGACAACTTTTATTGTTTTAGGCACGAATTGTTGAAACTACTCAATATAAAAGTGTTAAAAGATCCAGTTTTCTGCAACATTTGTGTGGGACAGAGTTTTGTGAGCTTCTCTGATCTGACATTTTTCATCTTGCTGCCGATGCTTTTGTTTCAGTACGAATACACTTCGGTAAGTAAAATTAATATTATAAAAGTTATAAGACGTAAGAAAGAATTTATTATCAGTCCTACAGTGCACCATTTACACAAAATACTTAAGCCGACTATGCAGATTATTAGTAGTATAGGTACTACGTCGATTCCATTATTTCATCAGCTCCAAAGACTTAACACAGAAGCCAATTTTGAGTTTGCCAACCAAAAGTTTTTTATCCACATCGTCTGAATTATTCTGATGTCGATTTGATTAACCGACTTACTAGATAAATGGATTGATTAATTTCAAGGACTGGTCCTCAATATGTTAAAAAAAACGCTCTTTAAGATTTTGTGGATTACTAGTTGATTTTTTTTTCTTTATTTTATATTCCAGAGTCAAGTGGCAACATGTATATCTATCACCGCAGCTGCTGATGTGGCCGGTCGCTGCATCCTCGCGGTTATAAGCAGTATTATAAATATTAATACAAGAGTTCTCTACTACATAGCTACGGTTTTCACACTTATAGTACGGATAGGTAGTGTTAATAACTATAAATCGTTTACAAATCAAACTAAAAAGGTTCACAAGACTAACAGGCGTAAGCTGCTGCAGTAGATACACTTTTACGGAGTGTTTTTTAAATAATAGCTGTCAGAAATTGAACATTGGCATTTAGGATTCAAGTCTGGAACATCAACCTGTATATCACATCTGTTAAAGTCTTTAAAAAACTTATTAATATTGTTGACATGATTCCAAATTTATTATATTGGTCGTAGAATCTAATCTTGATGCTCGTATTTCAGTCAGAAACCAGTTAAGACTTTTTGCTTATGAATAATTTCTAAATAATGCTATCTATTCTTATCTACAATTTATCTTTTCAGTGATGCTGCAGGTCCGTGAGTTCGTTTATGTCGCGGTTGTAACGGGTGCATTGGGCGTGCTACGCGCGTGGCTGCACGTTGCCAGCCCGTTGGTGATAGCCAGTCATGTTCCTCACGGGGACTTCCCCGGTGCTTACGCTCTAAGCATGTTAGCTGCTGGAATAGTGAACGTCGCCTGTGCACCCTTCATTGGTAAAGAAAGAATTCATTTTATTGGAGACAGCTGTTGCCCTCGACTCCGTCGTGTACTTCCAGACTGTGTTCTATATGTATATCAAATTTCAGCGAGATCTATGCAGCCGTTCCGGAGATACATTCAAAAAACATCCATCCATCCATCTAAACATTCATTCATT